GGGGGGGGGGGGGGGTGCCCCACTTGCCCCCACTTGCCCCCACTTGCCCCCACTTGCCCCACTTGCCCCACTTGCCCCACTTGCCCCACTTGCCGCACTTGCCCCGCTTGCCCCACGCCCCACTTGCAGGGTGGGCTGGGGTAGGAGGGGGGCGAGTGGGCAAGTGGGGCAAGTGGGGCAAGTGGGGCAAGTGGGGCAAGTGGGGCAAGTGGGGCAAGCGGGGCAAGTGGCAGAAATCACTTAGCGGTTAAGGCAGGGCAAGTGGGGCACAGTGGTTTTCGGTAAGGGAGCACAGCAAGTGGGGCAAGCGGGGCAAGTGGCAGAAATCACTTAGCGGTCCCCGTTTGCACGCGCACTGCCCTAAACCCTAAACCCTAAACCCTAAACCCTTTTTGGGGGGTTTAGGTTCCCTTATAAGCCCCTTTAAGCAAAAAAGGGGCACAAGCCTAGGTTACTGGGCAGCCTAGAGGGCCTCTTTTTGTGCGTTTTTGTCGGGTTCAGGGCTGAATCCGGGTTTACGGTTCCTTCTCTCGGAAATGAGGGTTGAGGGTTGGAGCTTCCACAATCAATCAGGGTTGACGGGTACTCTTGGGCACCAAAATCTGTCGGACGGAGCCCAAAAAGATACCCTAAATCCTATACCCTGAAACCCTAAACCCTAAACCCTATCTTTCGGAAGTTGTTTGGAAACCTCGAGGGCGAAACGGAGGTTGCTCAACCCTTAGTAGTAAAGCAGGTAACTTGGGGTTCTATAATCCCCATATATAGTCCAAAAGGTTTACCTTTAATTCCCCTCAGATTCCGGACAACTAAGAATCAGCGAGATAGCTGGGGAACCCTAGACCCTAGACCCTAGACCCTAAACCCGAAACCCTAAACCCTAAACCCTAAACCCTAAACCCTAAACCCTAAACCCTAAACCCTAAACCCTAAACCCTAAACCCTAAGGTGGCCGCAGTATTCCATACTCGAATCAGCCGCAGAATCGCCCTCTATACCCTAGAAGAGTGTAGGGTTAGGGTTTAGGGTTTAGGGTTTAGGGTTTAGGGTTTAGGGTTTAGGGTTTAGGGTTTAGGGTTTAGGGTTTAGGGTTTAGGGCTTAACCCCCAAACCCTCAACCTAAACGACAGTCCCCCCCCCCCCCAGTGTTAGAACAGGGCCTACGGGTACTATTTGAAGTCCCAAGCGAGGCCGATAGATAAAGTTGGGCTCAGATGAACTACTCAAGAAGGCGATTCCAGTTTCTAGATGTTCCCATACTCTAAAACTTAAGATAAGTTCAAAGCTGCAAGCCCTGAACCCTGCAAGGTGTAGCACGTGTCCCCTTCAAGCTTGTCCAACATTGCCTGGGCCCACGCCACGCTCGCAACTCGGGCTCCAAGACCCAGGGTCCTGGCAGGATCCACTACAAGTAAGAACCCCCAAATAGCACTACTATTACTATGGGGTCATTTTCAGACACCCTTAAGGGGTATCTACTTTTTGGATCCTCCCAGGGGTGTGGGGAGGTTTCGGATTCAGAGCTTAGGGGTTTAGGGTTTAGGGTCTAAGGGTAGCTACATGGTCCCTTAATATGGTCCCTTACCTCTTTAAAGGGTTCTGAAGTATTGGGCTCATGGGTTTATAGGGATATATAAGGGTCCCCCTTGAAGGGCCCATACTGAAGGACCATGTAACTACACTTCAAGCCCCCTCGGCTCGCACGCATGGGAGGGCAAGGGGCGAATGAGAGGGCCGAGCCTCCAACATCTCAGCGCAAGAGTACTTGACAAGCCTAGAGTCTGGCGGAGAATCTATCAATGTTTCTGATACCACCTGGATCATACAGTACCCGGAGACGGGCCCCTCAACCTTAAACCCTGAACCCTATAAACCTTAAGCCCTAAACGCCTTAAACCCCAGCTCTTCAACGGGCTTGTTGTCTCGTGGAGGAGGGTTCTGCTCTGTTTCTAGTTGGTTTGGTCGCTAGGTGTTGCACTCCTGTGCTTTGAAGACCCAAAGCCAAGGCACTGTGACCAAATGAGCCCTAAAAGGCTTTATGGTTCATATACCTGAATGGAATTTTTATAGTATTGAGTACAGGACCCTAATTGCAGGCCAGGGGTTGTGTTCAATCCTAGGCACTGACATCAAGTTGCTTGAAACAAAAACACTGTCACTTCTGGATAGATCTGGAACCAGTCACAGCGTGATGTTGCACGACATCACCGAATCTTTAGTGTTTCGGGTTTAGGGTTTCGGGTTTAGGGTTTCGGGTTTAGGGTTTAGGGTTTAGGGTTTCGGGTCAAGGATGTTACACAATGAGCACTGGAGCAGGCGCACAGTCTCGTCAGGGCCTCCGGCCCTGCATGTCTTGTATCCAAGAATCGATGCTTGAAAGGTTTTGAAAGAAGCAAGAGGCGAAAAACATGAAATGCAAGGTACGGATGTCCTAAACCCTAAACTTTAAATAGGGTACCTCATTCCCCAATTCCCAAAACTAAGAACCCGCCACCCTAAAGCCGAACCGTATAAACCCTAAACCCGAAATAGGGTACCTCGTTCCCCCATTCCCAAAACTAAGGACCCGCCACTCTAAACCCTGAACCCTGCACCCTAAACCCTCCAACCTCCAACCCTAAACCCTAAACCCTAAACCCTAAACCCTAAACCCTAAACCCTAAACCCTAAACCCTAAACCCTAAACCCTAAACCCTAAACCCTATAAACCCTAAACCCTAAACCCTAAACCCTAAACCCTAAACCCTAAACCCTCGCCCAGGCACACCTTGTGCGGCCGCTTATGGCCGCAGCCTCCGCCGAGGTCGTCCGCGCCATACACCAGCAGGACAGCTGGGTTTGCTAAGGTCGAGGGCTTAGGGTTCAGGGTTCAGGGTTCAGGGTTTAGGGTTTAGGGTTTAGGGTTTAGGGTTTAGGGTTTAGGATTTACTTGAACCCGCAACCCCTTTAAGACCCGCCCCAAAGGCCAAACCCCAAGAGGTCATGTCTCCAATTGATGGGCACTCTCCCCCGCAGCTTTTACTACCTCTAGACAACAATGGCAAAGTCCACCTTTCTTGTTTTCTTGCTTATTATACACCCAAAAAGGGATTTTGATTCAGAGAGCTGCCAAAGGCTTTTTCTGAGCGTTCAGGGCAGTGCCTGATCCTTTGTTTCGGGTTCATTTGGCGGTTTAGGGCTTAAGGTGCAGTGACTCTTCACCCTTGGCAGAGCACGCCAGGGTTTTCTGATGACTTTGAGGCTTTTTGTGCACCGTTTCCCCCCCCCCCCCCCCCAAACCCTAAACCCTAAACCCTAAACCCTAAACTCTAAACCCTAAACCCTGAACCCTGAACCCTGATGATTTAGAGCCCTCGATGTCCTGGGTGAGTACAGACTGTCGGGGATGGTTGAGAATTTCGCTCGCTCGGCTTCCACCCTAAACCCTAAACCCTGAACCCTAAACCCTAAACCCTAAACCCTGAACCCTGAACCC